AAGCAAGCAAAGCAACACAGAACTGGGTTTTTAGCGACATGATTGGACATTGTTGGTGCTGTGTTCTCAAAGGAATTTGGGTCCTTTTTCAGCACAAATATGAGATCTTCAGCAGCGCTTAGTTTACTCTTTGTTAGGAATGGCCAGAGCTATATTTATTTGCACTTGGTCTGTTTGAACATTGAACTCTTGCTGGGGAGACCAAAGGGGAACGAAGAGAAGGGCAAAGAGGAAGCAGGTGGGAATGGAGCTGTATTAGCAACAGTTTGGGGGTGTCTGAGATTGTTAAGCAGCAAAGGAGCTTCTGTAAGTCATGTTTTGCTTTTGAACTTTAATTTTCTTTTTCTTCTTAGGCCTTTAATAAAATTCTGATTTGTACAACTGTGCTCACACTGGCAGTTTAGTATGGGCAAGCCAAGTGGGAGAGGCAGACCTAATAAACCTGTGCAGGAATTGCTGTAAAATATTCCAAGGAAAAAACCCTGCCATTAGCTAGGTGGTTTGGATGATGGTTGTGTGGAGAGTGGAGAGCTTTTGAAACAGCACAGGCATGTGTGAGATGTGATAGTATTGCAGGAAAGATACCAAACAAAAGATATAAACAGGGAAAAACTGTTTTAAGACCAGGTGTAGTCTTAAAACTGGTGGAACTGTCTTCCTCTTCCTGCATGTGACTTAATGCCCGTTACCTCCAAAGCCCCCAGTAAATCATATAAAATCAGTCTGCTAAGCCATGCTGCTGAGTCATTTTAGAGTAACTTCCAGCTGCTGCTGCAGCTCTTTCCTGCTTCCCAGGCTGGCTGGCGTGAATCTCCTGAGGTCCAACGGGGCAAAGAGCAGGCAAACACATCCCCATGCTGTCCCTGCCCACTGCTGGCACAGCCCGGACTGATTCAGGTTGTGGATCAGTTGTTCCATAAAATTCCATCTTTTAAACCTGGCCCTCCTATGGACCTGTAAAAGCAGCAATTAGCGTGTTACTTAATGAAGTAGTGAAGTACTACTGTACTAAGCATTTCTGAAAGCCTTGTTTCTCTGGGCCTTTTTGCAGCATTTCAGCCAGGAGGATGTGTTTTTAAACTCAGCCTTCACTGCTGTTGTTACTTGTGGCACAACAGTAGAGTCTTAGTGTGTTTCTTGATCTCTAATTTGCATTGTGTTGCCCTTGCTAATATTAATAAGCATTCTCCTGCCAGAGTAATTTCACTGGGAAAAGACTTGACACCTTTACTGATGCTAAATGCCACCCACGTACCTGGTTCCTAGGTTTTCATTAATTTCTCCCCCACAATAGTTTGGAATCAAAGCATGTTGCTTTTTTGTTTGGGTTTTTCGTTTGGGTTTTTTGTTGTTTTTCCCTTTCGTGATTTTTGCCAATCAGAAAACACAACAGAAGATGAATAACAGTGCTTGGATTGTCACACTGCATGGTTGGAAGCAGGGAAGTTGGAAGTAAATTTATAGTTTAAAAGAATAAAATTTACTAAACAAAGAAATGCTTGCAGAGTGACCTTTTGTCCTCTTGAACACTTAGTGATTGTGCAGCTGTTCTGTCGTGTCTTTTCCTAATGCATATTCATAGATTTTCACAAGGGAAAAACATGTTTGGGAAACTATTATTATAATTTAATTAAAAATAGTTTTCATTTTAGAAAATTAAATGTATTGGCAGTGGCATACTCATTGCTAATGGGTGATTGTACTTTTTCAATAATAATAAGAGATTCAATGAAACCCTAGAAGATGTTAGAATATGATTAACTAGATAATCTATGTATTTGAGTTTTTACTCCCAAATAAACCGGATCTCTCAGAGCCACAAGTGTGAGTTTATATTTGATAATTATATGAGACTCTTGAGCTTTCTTGCAGATTGTAATTCAATTCTGTAAGAAAAGAACTTTAAAACAAGAAGAAAGAATGAGTGCCTCTAATTACATGAAGGCGTTGTGCCTGGCTTGGTCAGCTTGTTCAGTCCCTCATCTCAAACAGAGCCCAGCAGATTATGCACTGTACTGTGCTGGAGCAGCAAATAAGAGTACAGAACCCAGCAGTCCCAAATTATACCTTCCTCAAATACTGGTTTGGTTCTGTGGAAAAAATCATTTCTGAAAGTGTTTATCAAGATGTCAGCTGTGGTTGTCATTTACTAGAGGATATTATATGGTGAGGTACATCAGGGATGGCTGGAAGGTGTTTGGGACTTAATGGCAAGCAGCTGACCAAAACTAGGGACCTGTATCACAGAGGGAGAAAACTGGTATCTTGTTTCTCTCCAAATATGTTTATAGAAAAGGTCATGTATGGATATGTTTGTCCAGCTCTTTATTCATGTATTCTTATGCAAGTGCAGACCCACTCTATTTTCTATAGTGTTTTATGTCCACATTAGTGAAAACAACATAGTTAACTTTGGAAGATGGTGCTGAGATTCACAGTTCTGTCTGCTTCCACCTCTGTGTGGTGCCAGGTCCAAGGGCTGTAAAGCTAACATGATAAATAAAGAAAACTTGCTATTACAGAAAATTTGTCAGTCGAAACCACACAGTTTTTGCCTATTGAAGATGCTTTTTTTTCATGTGTGTCATTGAGTTAAATATTAATGGGGATAAGAATCCAGATGTAAAGTGTCAAGTAAAAGCACACTTGGCTAAATTAAGAGAGCCAGAAGATGCCTTATAAATTACTTCAATTGCTGAGAATCTTTAAGGGTCCTCTGGGTCCTAAGCAAAGTACCTTGTGACTACAAAGGGTGATATAGTTCAAAGGAGAAAAAAGAATAAAAGAGAGGTTAACAGGCCCTTTAAAGATTAAAACAAATAAAACAGTCTGTTGTTTCACTTAAAAGCCGTCTGAGTTGGAACTAGAGAAATAACTATATTAGTATACTTTATTCTCCATGGGATTTAAATTCAGATTATGCAAATTAGATCAGTGTCATGCATGAAAAAATGGGGACTTCAAAGATAAGACTGGGGCAGTTGTTCTAAATACTATAAATTGCAAACCTGTCGTTGAGTCAAAATGGCTAATTTCTGGTCATCTGTGTGTACAATTAGGCCTGTGGCAATTAACTGAAATGTTGAACTCTCACATATTTGTGCTAAGTTTACCAAAACACGTGTGTGAGAGCTTGGCAAAGCTTCAGAGTAAGTTTAGAGCAGGCAGTGTGCTGCCCTTAATTAACAGCTGGGTGAGTCCTTGCCGTGGGTTCTTGTAGTTCAGAGAAGATGCGGGGCCTCGAGCAAGAAAGCGCTGTGGCATCTCACAGTGTTGGTAGAGGAAGGATGTGCAGAGCCTGGGGAAGGAGGTTTTGCTTGCTGGAAGCATCCCAAGAAATGGTGGCCCACTTCCACCTCCAGTGACTTCTGTGCACAGCTCAGTGCGCTTGTCTAACAGCCGTGTCCTGAAGGCGTTGAGACATTTCTGGCTGGAGTTTCTAGCCTGATTGGTTGTGGCATTTTGTACTTTCTGATGACCGAATTTCCCAATTTTGTACCAGCTGGATGCTTTGACAAAAGACACCTTCCTTCTTGGTGTCGGGGGTGTTTGTGTGGCCAAGTCATGTGTTGTCTTGGCAAAGAGGTTTGATACCAGCCCTGGGGGTGAGGACAGACTGGGGAGGACTATGGCCAAAGAGGAGATGGGCCATGAGGTGTTTCAGGAAGAGACCTGGTGCTGCTAGTAGTATGGCACCAGGGGATGCGTTAGTCACACACAGACCAGGAAGAATGGTTAACTTGGCACCTGCTCAAGGGGGGTTTCCATAAAGGAAATTATATAAATATATTGATTCATTGGAACAGAGCAAAGTATGTCCTTCTGAGGAGAAATAAACTTCCCTTTCAAAATAAGGGAATATGCCAGAAGCAATAGATTAATATCAGGAATGGGTGATGATATGAACTAGAGATCAATGCATTCAATGTGGTGCTGTCATTAGAGACAGATGCTATACTGGGAGATAAAAATGGAAATGCTAAGCTAGGCTCAGGAAAGAAATTATTCATCACTTTGCAGTTCTGTACAGGACAAGTTAAGTACTGTCTGTCATCTGATTAAAAAATAACTGAAAGACATCTCCTGTCATGAAACAAACTGTAGTAGAATGGGAAAAAGTTAAAGAAAAGGATTTCTCAGAAATTCTCTCACAGGACATCTTTGGTTAAACATTAAAGACCTGGAAATATCTCCAAGGGCCAGTATGAGTAGTACTGAAATTACTGTATTTATCTATACACACATGTATATTTTGTATTTCTTTATGTTTTATATGTAATATCTATAAGTGTGTATACAAAATACATATAACAAATGTAGTGGATATCTCCAGAGTTAACAGTGGTGAAATATAAACTATTTATTGTGTACCAACTATGTCGTAAATACATATATATACATATATTTATACATACACACATATATATGTGTATATATAAGAATTACATTTATTTTTCAAGTTCGGTTTCATCATTTTTTGAAACCAAGTGTGTGGACTCTCGCATTGCTTTCTCCCAGTGGAACATCTAGTGCTGTATGTTACAAACATGTCTGTCCACAGCCTTGTACCTGTAAGGAGTAGCTGCTAATGTGGGTGTAGTAGCAGAAGACATTTTCAAGATAAAGATATAGAGGAATGCTGTGGACATCACTGAATCTGTCAAAAATTTTTGTTAAATTCAAAGAAAAAGTGAAGTAATCTTTTTCAGTCTTTGTGTAAAGGAAAGCTGGAAATCATCTAGTTTGAAGGCAAATGAGCAGTCTGTCTCCAGACCTTAAGACTCCTAAATGAAAGAAAAATGTTGTCTTTTTCACCATTTTCAGCCTCTAATATTGAAGCATAGCTTAGGTTCCTGTTCCTTAGCAAACCTGTGAAGTTGCGTTTGACCGAAAGCAGCAGTAAGAAACAAGTGATGAGTTTGAGCTTTTTCACTAATTCCAGTTTAAAATGTTCACAGCAACTTGACTAATTGTATTAATTTGTTTCTTCTTAAGGCACAATGGGGAAACAAAATAGCAAGCTGGCCCCTGAGGTGATGGAGGATCTGGTGAAGAGCACAGAGTTCAATGAACATGAGCTAAAACAGTGGTACAAAGGATTTCTAAAGGACTGTCCAAGTGGTAGACTGAACCTTGAGGAGTTTCAGCAGCTCTACGTAAAAGTAAGTGATTTCTTAAGTTCCTGATATTTGGATGTAGAAGAGGTTGCAAAGTAATGTAAAGCAAACATATGGTCAAGAGCTGCCAGTCATTTAGAGTAAGGAAAACCTTTGCTATGAGGAGCAATGGTGAAGATGAGGAGATAAATGGGAAGTGCTGCCCTCATCACACCAGCAATTCATATAGCTACAGTGACCAGAACCAAAAGCTTAGAAAAAAAGCTGTGTTTTACTCAAAAGAAATACATTATTGGCACTCTGTAATTTATGGGTGTCTTTCACCTTCAAAGACTGGTTGTGGTTCTGTTCAATAAACAGCACTGTAGCCATGTAATACCACTGGAATATAAACCCTGTGATTGCTGGACCTACTCAGATAAAAGACTGTCCTTTTGGTTTCATAAAAAGTGGTGAAGTTTCATGACAGTATGTCCTGCAGATAAATTACACACTGTGGACAAAGGATTTCTTTCTCTAAATTTTAAGTATTGCCTTTATTTTTTCCCTACTTATGTATGGAAAGGTATTTTCCCTATGTCTTTGCCCTCGTTATATAGGAAAGGAAAAGCAGGCTGCTTGGTTTATTTTCTTCTTATATTTTGTTATTTTATCAAGTTCAATGTAGTATTTTCCTTACATTTATTATGTATTTATTCTGTAACAAGAAGAGCATGGGGGCAGCATAAGAAATGTATTCATGTTACAAAGATAATTATATTTTAATTCAGAACGAGTGTCTGCCTAAAGGTCAGAGACTTCAAAGTAATTTTAATTAGGAAAAATATTGGATGGTGATGATGAACAGTAGGATCAGAATGGTTCATAAATACAATGTGAGGCTGAATAAAAATAAAAAAGCCTTTCAAATGTAAGTAGTTAATATTGAGCACACTCACAATTGCTGCAGACAAGTGGGACTATCTGTCTTTTCCCTTAAATGCATGCTCCAGTCCTTTCCTAAATCTCTTTAGCCCTGAACTGGATCACTCTGAAAATTATTACCTAGCCCCTTTTTCCTTCTAATGAGTGGTCTAAGGAAAACTAACTCCAGCTTGCATAAATAAATTTCAGGCTTCATATTTTAATATTCGTGGCTCAAGACGTTGCTTCACAATCCTTTTCTTAAGAAATTACTGACTTTGGAATAACTGTTATTTTCAGATGAAAGAATTTGTACTGCCTCAGGTATTGTGCTTGTTATTGACTGATAGTTTATAGCTTCCATTTTGAACAGTACGCTGTGTGCATCCAGCAAGATCAGACATTAATAATTTCTTGCACATATTCCTGAGAAAAGTAAATGGTCTTTACAAAATATGGGTTAATAATAAAGTACATCAACTGTTTAACTCTTTAGAAATAATTATTTTCTTTTTGGCAAATTGCAGTAAAGGGATTTTTTTTTTTTGAGATTTTGTGTGTTGTTGTGAAATATATCTTCTGAAAATAGCTCAAAACTGTTAGGACTTCCTCCCTTCAAAGGCATGTTTGAAGTGTTCATAGATATTTCACAAGATAATTTACTTATGAAGAAATATCAGAGAATAAATTCAATATCATGCTTACAAAAATGGGAGTGCAAAGAATAACATGAAGACTGCAGCAGGATTTTGCTCTTGTAATTTGGAGACAGCTCTGTAGTCTTACTAAGCTGCAATATCTGGCTTTCAGTTTTATGGCCTCATATATTTTTAGATATGCACATCAAATAAGATTGTCTCCCTTGCTTTGGCAGTTACGGGTTTTGAGATCTGCCCCGTAATGATACTGTCATATATTTAGCCCAGTTTATTGCCATTCTATCTATAATGTCTATATACAGAGCGAGATACTAATTTTGCAGAGGAGAAATACGATTAGTTGTAGTAAATCCAGAGCTTCACTTCTGCTTCTGTCACAGAAATGCTTGTGTAATAATGGCCCTGGGCTCTCTGAGGAGCTAATAGTCTGAGTGTTGGCCATGGTGGCGACGTCTCCTGTGTAGGACGTTCTGCCTGCCCTGGCTGCTGTCTGCAGACAAAAACCCAGTTGAGAAATTTGATCTTTCCAGGAGGAGCCACCAGCAGGAGACCCAAATCATTAAGATTACATTTACATCATTTTGTTCCTTTAATGTATATTCAGAGTGAAAATGTATGAAGCGTGTATTGATTACTGATTCCTCTGTGTAAACTTATAGTTGGGAGAGATGACATTTATCTGTTGTCCTGAACTGGATTTTATTGAAGAAGATTTCCATAAATCAATGTATTTGAAAAAGGAATAGGAGACTTAACCTGTAGTTCAGATTTAAATTTTCTTAAGATGACACTGTTTCTTTGTTCATGAGAGTTGTGTGATGCACTTCCATGTATATAGATAAAAGGGTGTTGGTCATCTAACTAGGATGCAAAGAAAGCTCTTCTTTTCTTTTACTTGCACACAGTAGAAAAAATCCTCAGCTTAAAGAGCAAAAACATTTTAGATTATATCAGGAGCAGTATTTTAAGGTGAATTTCCTGGTTATCTTCACTTCCATCATAATTAGAGTGGGGTGCACAATCTTGGGGTACAGAAAATGCTTTTTTTTTGGATGAAACTTAACTAGAAGATGTGTGCTGGGATCACACCTAATGTATTACTGTATCTAATGCCTGCTAATAAGCTGGAGTTGGTCTGAAATAAAACAGCCAGAACATGTGTGGTGTGGATGTCTGGTCCTCAACACTAACTCTTCCACTCTACGTATTTGCATCAATTGTACTGCTCTGTTCACTGATGTAGATGAAAACTGTATTGACTAAAAGCGGAATTACTGTAGCTTGGCTTGGAAGCCTTTACTATTGAAGTTTCCATTATGAATACAAATCATGCAGTGCTTAAAATAAATAGTAGTTATACAAATGGACTCTACAGAAGAATTATTTGCAGCACTTCTAGTGGAACACCTGTTTTAAATACACAGCTAATAGGCAGAAGTATACTTTATACTGTTGCATATTTAGCATTGTCTGCAATCTAACAGTTTCAGTAAAAATATTGGTACATTTTTGGGTGGATGGATTCTTCTTGGGATCCAGAATCTGTGGCAAGCTATTAGGGCTCATGTTTCCCTCCGTGGTGCTGAATGAGGTGAATGTTTCAGCAGGTTTTGAAATAGTTTATTGAAGAATTGTGTATATACTGTAAGCCCAGAGCCACAAAGAGACCCAATTGCTGAAACACCGAGTTAGCTGTCCTGACAGTCTGCAGAGAGCATGGGAGGGAGAGAAATTTGTGGATAACGTTCTGAGGAAGCTGAGAATCAAGGCAGCATGTTGTAAACAAATGTGCCAATGCAAAACCACAAGGTAAAGCTCAGGACAGGAATTTATATTAAATTCTACATTTCTCCATGGTATATGCATCTGTTTTCATATGGGAGTTGCATCTTTCAAACCTCTCCTGCAGAGAACTATCTCGGACATTGGAACTCAAAGCAAAATCAAGTGACCGGAGTCCTTTCTCTTTTAAGTAATGAAGATAATGTGCATGCCTTATCTTTACCACAGTGGTTTAAGTACTCATCAAGCTGTAGGAAACTGAATCAATTATCATGTCCTTGTAAAGAGTTTGGTGCTCTTGAGCACTGCTCACCCTCTCATTGCTCTGCCTGTGATGAGATAGGCCTTTCTGGGCTGCTGGCAGTATCCAAATTAACCTCTTTTTCTGCAGGAAATAATGATAAGTAGCATTGGACAGCCTGGAACCAGCAGTTTCCATCTTCCTAACCATTAAGCTTAATCCTTGCTTGCTTTCTTCATTTTCCTTTTTTTTTCTCCTAAAAAGTGCTTAATTCTTTTATCTGACATAGAACATTAGCATTGTGGGCAGAGAGCTGAAGGAATTATATACAGAAGTGTCATTAAAATAAAATATACCAATAAAACATTCTTGACTGTTCATATCATTCTTTAGGATTTCTTGCAGTCTAGAGGGCCAAATAAATTTTCCTTCAGATCTTTTGAATTCACTGGGTTTAGATCAATATGTCCTAGAGTGTGTAAGTGTGCATAACTGGTCTTGATGTTCACAGGAATTATGCATGTTTATTAAGTGGAAAATAGGCTTCTATATTGTGATACTTCTTGGAACTGGGTCACTGAACATGAGAAGCATATCTTCTGGATTAATAATGGAAACGAGCACCAATGGCCCTTTAACTGAAGGGTAGGGTTGGGAGTGATCATGATATAATGCTAGCATTAAATAAAGTCATTTACTTTTTGAATTTATTGCACATCTATTATTTAGCTATGTTTTGTGGTTTTATAGGTAATGTTTAAATTTAAAAAAATAGTAGTGCTATTTGATTAATTACAATGAAATGGTTTGTAAAATTTTTTGGCTTCTTTTTCACATTTCCTGCCTTGAAGGGAATTGATTTCTAGTCTTTCATTTTAGTATGTGTAGAACAAAATAATTTTAAAAATCTATTGAAATTTAAGTGGGTATATTTGCAGCCTCTTTTTCTCTATCCAGGTTTTTAAGACAGACTAACATCCTTCTAAAGATGGCACAGAGCTCTTCAAAATGTTGGGTTAGAGCTGCATTTCAGGCTTTCAGTGGCTGTGAAGAAGTGGGATTCCAGAACAGCACAGCTGTGTTTACAGATGTCCCTAACATAGATGCAATTACACTGGCAGAAACTGGTTTTCGTGGGATCATCTCTTTTAACTGGAAGAAATGTGCTGGTTTTATGAGTGCCGTTTTATGCTGGTCACTTAAGTTCTTATAGTAGGAGTACATTTTAGGTGTATTATACCAATATTAGGTATCTTATACCTAATATAATTAATATATTTAGATATATTATACCAATCCTGTATTACTAAAGAACTACAACATGTTTTGAAATCACACAGATTATAAAAAATACTGATGTATCTACTCATACAGTGACTTTAAGCCATGCTGTTGCTGCCTTCTGGAAGATCACATCTAGGGTGCTAGCAGCCTTCCTGGACAATGTGTCAGTACGTTTT